GGTCTCTCCCTCCACAGCACCAGCAACAGAGCTGGACATCTTTCACCCCTGACACAGCCAGACTGAAAACGTTTCTATTCCACAGCTTAGCACACGGACAAGGTAAACTGGCACACAACTTCCAGTTGATTTTTTTTTTTTGGTACCCGGGATTGAACTTGGGTCCTTGAGCTTGTGAGGCAGGCGGTAGAACCACTGAGCAAAATCCTCGACCCATTCAGCTGATTTTTAAAAAATTTATTGGTCAAAAACAAGACTCTCTAGAGTCAAGGTTGGAATTCATTTAATCAACTGAAGCAATTCAAGACTTTACTAAATTAAAAAAAAAAAGCCACCAACTGACCTTTGGGTGGCCAAATATTTCATCAATATATGTGAAAAGTCACTTAAAGCAAGACGTAACAGGGCCAGGGATTTAGCTCAGTGAACTGCCCCTGCCTCACAAGCCCAAGGTCCCGAGTTCAATCCCCGGTACCAAAAAAAAAAAAAAAGGAAAAAGCAAGACATAATGGATACCTGCATTCACACACAGGGCTTACCCTAAACCATAAAGCTTTCTGTCCCTTTCTCTGCACCACTACCACGCATGCCCTTTCACACCAATAGAAGTACTTCAATCTGGTTAGGGTCATTACAAAGAACTACAACGCATATCTTATTTCATTATCTTACAAAATCCTAGTAAGTCTGAATTTGTTCAGCAAATGATTTATACAGATGAGGGTGATCATAAATTCTGACAGCTAATACCTATAAATGAGATAAATACTGATTTAAAAATACAGTGTCAGCTGGATGCAGTGGCGCACACCTGAATTCCAGCTACTCGGGAGGTGGAGGCAGAAGGACTGCAAGCTGCAGGCCAGCACAGGCAACTCAGCAAGATCCTGTCTCAAAAACAAGGGGCTGGGGTGTAGCTCAGTGGTAGGGCTTCCCTGGGCTCCACTAGCAGTACTGTTGGTGCTGGGGGCAGTGTCAAGAAAAGTCTATGTGACACTCTAAAGACTTTAAAATGTTTCTAAGATTACAAGTAGGCCTCTGCCTTTGTGCACACACGCAGCTGTGTTTTCTCCACAAGCTTCAGAGCTTTGAGCTGCACACACAGTATCCTTGATTGCGGTGACCAAGCTCAGTGGCAATGTCAGCTCGGTCCTTGCTCACAATCTACTCCAGGAGACACCTCCAAGATAGCGTCTGTTTTCCCTGTGGTGCTGAGAATGGAACCCAGGGCTCCATGCAGGCTAGGCAAGGGCCCTACCACTGAGCTACTCTCAGCCCCAGATAACTTCTTTTTTCAAGACCCAGATAATTTTTTAATGATAAAATTCTCATATTTTTGGCTCAGAACCCTTCCTTCTTCATTCACTAAAAGTAACCTTTAAATATCACTTTAACCACAGTTCAGATAAACCCAGGGCCAGGGATTTAGCTCAGTGGTGCTGTGCCTGCCTCGCAAGCATAAGGTCCTGAGTTTGATCTCCAGTACAAAAAAAAAAAAAAAAAAAGACTAACACAATAAGATAAACCCATTAGGATGGATGACTAGAATGAAAAGGGTAGAAAATATTTAAGTACTGGCAAGAATGTAGAGAAATCAAAACCCTCCTAACATTGCCAGTACAATGTAAAATGGAGCCACCACTTTGGGAAAGATCTGGAGAGTCCTTTAATGATTAAAATTTAGGGTTACCACATGGCCTAACAATTCCACTCCGGAATGGGAGAAGGAATGAAATGAAAAAACATGCCCCCACAAAAACTTGTTACATGGATGTTGATAGCAGCATCCAAGCTGGAAACAATCCAAATGTCACCAACTGAGGAACAGATAAACAAAATGTACATCCATACAATGGAATTTTATTCACCATGAAAAAGAACTAAGCACTGAACTACACATGCTACAACATGTATGAACTTTAAAAACATATTAAGTAAAAGACTATACACGATCCCATTCATATGAATGTCCAAAACAGGAAATCTACAGAGATGGAGAGTAGATTAGTGTTCACTTAGAGCTAAGGGGAAGAAAAGAAAATCAGGTGATAGTTAAAGGACGGGGGGTTATTTCTGCCAAGATAAAAATGGTCTAAAACTGACTTTGGTGATAGTTGCCCATTTCTACGAATACCAAATAGTGCTGAATTATGCTGCTTAAATGAGTAAATTGTATGGTATGTGAATTATACCTCTATGAAGCTGTTAGAAATTTTTAGCTAAGGGCTGCGGATTTAGCTCAGTGGTGCTGCGCTTGCCTGGCAAGTGTAAGATCCTGAGTTTGATTAACAGTGGGGGGGTTGGGGGGGAGAGAAAGAAAGATATTTTTAGCTAAATTGGGAATGTGGTACACACCTATAATCCCAAAACTCTGGGAGGCTGAAGCAGGAGGATTGCAACTTAGCCATAGTGTCTCAAAATAGAAGTAAAAAATCTATTAAAAATCCAAAAAATTTTTTCAGCTCCACTTTACCCTTCAACACTAATAAGCATTGAACATGTAAGAGTGAACCTAGCTCTAGCTTCAAAGCAGTTTTGCTCAAGGGTATAAAAATGAGGCAGGAACAAAGCCCTGCCCGGTACTCAGTCAGTGCCACTGATTTCTCTGCCAGCAGTCTTCGATCTGGAACCATTTCACATTCTTGCAGCCATCTGCAAGCACAGGAAGCACCTTCTCATCTGCTCCCTCTGGGGGATGGGTAAGACTGGGACTTTCGGGCTGGGGATGCAGCTCAGTGGCACCGTGCCTGCCTTGCAAGTGCAAGGTCCTGAGTTCGATCCTGGGTACCAAAACCAAAAAACCAAAAAAACCAAAAAACCTGGGACTTCCAGGCTCACCTTTCTGAAGGAAACTGAATGAGGACAGCAGGACTGCCTGAAGACAGACGTAAGACAGTGTGGACAGATGCGAGCCTGGCATACAGGGCTTCAGGCTGCTCCGTATTTTCACAGCAGCCAAAGAGGACTTGAAAAAAGCCACTGAATGTCAGATTCTTCTCTAAATTAAAATGGTCCTTTAAACTTTCAGTATCAACGAGGGGATCTGCACACCCCCACAGGATGCCAGGGCTTCAGTCATCTGTACACAGCTTGCCAGGGGCCATGTTAGGTCCCCTCCCTAGAAAACCACCGCAGCTTAAGACTTGACTGAAAGAAGAAAAAGTCAAGCAGACAGACAGAAAGACAGGTGCATAAGACCAAGAATCCTCACAACAAAACATAAGTGAATCTGAGGTTAGACAACATTGTGATAGAGGGAAAATGGAAACCCTCTTAAAGAAAGCACGTTAAGGGGCTGGGGATTTAGCTCAGTGCTTCCGGTGCCTGCCTTGCAAGCGCAAGGTCCCGAGTTCAATCCCCGGTACCAGAAAAAAAAAAAAGAAAAGAAAGCATGTCAACCAAGTCTAAGTTCTGATTTTACTCCTCTGATGTGTATTTCCTAAGCTAGGCCTCTCCCCTCCCAGAATGTGTCCTCCAGAGAGAAAAATCAACCAGATGGCCAGGACCTGCTCCTGCCTGAGACACACGTGCCCAGCATGGTCTCACTGGTCTGTCTACCCACTCCCTGCAGTGCCTAGTGTGCCCCAGCCTACAGGCTGGAAAAGCTACCAGACCACAGCTTGTGTCTCAGTTTAAACATAAGGAAGGGGCCATGAGAAAGAATATGACTGACACGAGCGGACCAGGGACGGTGGCCCAGGGATGGAGGCCTCAATCCAGAGATGGGCCGTCCTGGGGCACAGTGTGGAGGAAGAGACAGGGCAAACTGCCTCTCAGGCCGGGAGTTCACTCTACCGAAGAGGGGCTCCTAGGACCAGGGTGTCAGTGTTACTTGCAGAGGCTGCATTCTTGCTTCACCGGCAGCTGTTGCGGTGGACTGTGAAAGATGGCCACCAATCCCTTGCCACTCTGCCTCCTCACCCCTTGAATCTGGACCAGCCTGGAAGCTTGCTTTGGTCAATGGAACATGGCAGAAGTGACACTGGACAATTTCTAAGCTGCGGCCCCAAGACATCTTGCAGCTCCCACTCCTGCACTGAGAATGTTGCCATGACCAGTTCACAGGAGGATGAGATCCACACAGAGAGGCTCCAGCAGGGAGGGTCCCAGGCCTGTGAGGTCAGCCCAGGCCACCAGTGCCTCCCAGCCAGCTCAGCCTCGAAGAACTCCCAACCAACAGTATGTGGGAATTAGGAAGTGCCTTAAGCCACTCAATTCTGGGGTGGTTTGCTACTTTGCAAAATTGACTGCTACATCAAGGAGGCCATGGCATCTGAAAGCACAATACCACTAATTTGTTTGGTGCCCTGGTTCATGAACTTGATTCTTTCCACGATTCTGGTTACAAACCAAACTGGACAAGAACCAAATCAAATTCAATGGTTAGGTTCAATGTTGACCTTATGGAGAAATCTGATTCATTTTGCAACCAGAAATGTGGGAAGAATTAAGTTCATGAACTGAGGTACCACTCTAATATAATATATGGTATTTTAACTCCAAAAAGTGTGCATCAAGTCAGATGCAGTAGTGTATGCAAGCTCTGGACAATATATTGAGATCCTGTATCCCCGCTGCCAAAGAAAAGGAAAGGAAAAAAGAAAAGTATGTATCAATGAGTAACACAATGTAAAAAGATGTAAAAGTACCATGGACAATTCAGGATATACAATAATAATTTGTTCCAAGTGAAATTCTTCAATTTCTGGTAACTTTGCTAGGTGTATCAAATACCAAAGACAGACTGGACTAATAGAAACAATTTTCAACGTATCAAAACTCTAACAAGCTCCAAATATTTTGAAACATTCACAAAATGGTACTGCTGATTTTCTTAGGTATAAAGCACCCTAAATCCTTGGTTACAGCATTACAGAGGATTACATCTTATTTATGATCAACCTTTGGATCCTAGATTTACTTGATAAAGACCATTAAACAGGACAAATAAGACATCTAAAACCAAACCCTGAATATTGTAAATCTTTTTCTTTCTGTTTTGTTTTTAATGTTGAACCTGTTATAAGCCTTGACTCTGGGCAAATTCACTTGCCGTAGGATGGCTGCATAATGGAATTCTTCCAAATATCTGACTGGAAAAGATTTGGGAACCTAGTTCAGTTCCCAGATCTTTGACCCATTTCCTACAGAAGAGCCATCCAAGAGGTGTCAGAGGAGCAAACAATACCACCTCTCCTGGGCTCAAAGGTCACTGCTAGGATTTAGAGCCAAAATGTCCCCCAAAGCCAGATATGTTCAGAGCGAGGCTTTTGGAAGGTGGCTGGTTCATGAGAGTGCTAACCTCATCCACGGATTAACCTACTAAAGAGTTCCTAACTATGAACGTCCTGTTACGAGGTGAGGTCTGGTTGGAGGAAGCAGGTCACCGGGGACATAACCCAGAAGAGTCTACTCTTTTCCGCAGCCCCTCTCTGGCTCTCTTCCTGTTCTTCTCTACTTCCCGGCCGCTACACAGTGAGCAGCTTCCCTTCACCATCCCCTTCCAGTATGATGCTTACGCCTCAGAGCCTGCCAACCACACACTGGAACCTCTGAAACTGTGAGCTGAAATAAATGTCTCTTCGCTTAAACTGACTTTCTGAGGTACTCTAGTCACATATGATCAGCACTGCAACAGACCTTCCCCAAACAGGGTGACTGCCAAAATAAAATATTTTGTTTCCTCCTCAGATAAGACCTTCTGAAAAGCACTGGGTCCCTTGGAGTTCTTGAATTGTAGCACTGGATACAGTACTTGATATCTGACACTCAAGGACAAAATCATCTTCTCCAGGGCTCCCGGCAGAATGACAGACTCAGGCCATTCCATCCAACCTCACCCACCTGCCCAACACATTCTGGAATAAAGCACCACTAGACCATCCTCACAGCTCAAGCCTCTTATTTTCTGGGTAGCATCTTTTCATCCTCAACAGAAATATCCAAGAACAAATAAATCTACTGCTAGAAGTTAAGATCTGTCTTGGTTACTTTCTCATTGCTGGGACAAAATACCCAACACCCACATGTTAAAGGACCAAAGGTTTATTTTAGTTCAGTTTGCAGAGGTTTCAGTCCATAGCCAGCTGGTTCCAAGGCAGGGCAGCACGGCAGAGCGGTATAACAGAGGAGAAACAGTCCATGGCATGGCAGGCAAGAGGCAGTAAGCCTTCCTTTTCCTTTTTTTTTTTTTGGTACCGGAGATTGAACTCGGGTCCTTACACTTGCTACACTTGTGCAGCAGGCAGCTAAACCACTGAGCTAAATATCCGGCCCCTTCCTTTTCCTTTTTATTCTAATCAGGCTATCAGCCTATGTTGATGCCATCCACACCCAGAGTCGGCCTTCCCATTATCCACACCTAGAACCTTGCTGAAGTCACCAGTGAATTAATCTGGTTATCACACCCATAATCTAGTATCACATGCTCTGATTCAGCCACCTCCAAAAAGCCCCACCTATGAGCGCATGAGGCTTGGGGGTACAAGGAGATATAAACCATTACAAGATCATTCTGTTATCCTCACTTCTGTGACATTAAGAGTAGGAAAGCTTCTAAAGATGCTCCTTTAAGCCAATATACAAATCTTAGAAAAAAAGAGAATGGACTTAGGCATTAGATGAAAATAAATTAGTAATTTTAAAAAAGTATGGTCCTATTACCATTTAAACAGAGAAAATGTTTTCTAATATATCATGTGAGTCTAAAAAGTAAGCAGTGTTATATACTGAAATATACATACATTTTTACTATATTCAGTCATTTTTATCAACATTATCAGTGCAATCTACAATTAGGGAATCATTCAAAATGAAAAATTTATTGCTGACCTGGAACACCCTATACCACCTCCTGTATACCAGGCTTTCTACATGGTATGTGCTCCATGGCACACCAGGCAGCCTGAGGTGTAGGAATCGACCCATGTTTCAGACAAGGACGCTGACACACTCTGAGGCCAGTGCTGTCCCCTCATCCAGGTGGCCAGGAACCCAGGTGGCCACACAGGAAAAGTTCTAGCAAAAGCGATCTGGTTGCACTGCACCCTTCGGCAGTTCTCTCAGCCAGCCTCTCAAAAGAGAAGCTTGGGAAGACGAAGTCCCATCAGAATTTTATACCTTTTATTTCCCCTGGTATTAGGGATTGAACTCAAGAAATTTCCACTGAGTTACAGACCCAGACTTTTTTGAGACAGACTCTTGCTAAACTGCTAGGTTTCAAGGTTAAACTTGAACTTGGTAACCTTCCTGCTTCATTCAGCTTCACAAAGTTCTAGGACTATAGGTGTGTGTTGGCAACCTGATGTGAATAACAGCTTTCACAAACTAAAAGAAGAACTCTTTTTTTTTGGTACCAGAGCTTGAACTCAGGACCTTGCACTTGCGAGGCAGGCGGCGGAACCACTGAGCTAAATCCCTGGTCCCAAAGAAGAACTCATATTCACTGTATCCAGGATTTTACTGTGTATTCACCAAAGCTGCCTTTGGTCACCTGGACAATATGCAATATCTAACCAGCAAAATGGAATTTTGTATGTGATAATTGACATTTAGAAGATAAAGGCTGTGCTTCTTACCTCAATGTCAAATATTTCCACCGTGTTGTCCAGCAGCTTCACTCTGACACGCGCGTGCTTCTCCTGGACTCTGGGTGACAATATCTGTCCTGGCTCAAGGGTGCTCACGCCCATGGGGGTCTGGACACCCAAGCGCGTGCCTGCTGTCTGCAGGACCGGGTACGTTCCTTCTATCTCCCCCATTCTTCATCAGTTAACAGTGAAAGAAACACTAAAATAAAACAAAAATACATCAAGGGATTGCCAACTTATATAGATGTTAAAACAATGTAAAAAAATCATGGGGCACACAAGACTCGTTATATTATTTTTGCAACTTCTGCGACTCTTAAGTTACATCCAAATAAAGAGTTCAAAAAAGGCTATACACACATAGGTGGAATGTAAAATAAGAAAACAGGAGGCCAGGGATTTAGCTCAGTGGTTCCAGTGCCTGCCTCGCAAGCCCAAGGTCCTGAGTTCAATCCTCAGTACCAAAAAAAAAAAAAAAAAAAAAAAAAATTAAAATTAAAAAATCAATCAGAAAACAGGAGCCCCAATAACATTCCTGGGTGCTCTGAGCCAGCATACACATTAACTCCTCAGCTCCTCAAAGGCCCCACTGGTGAGTGAGCGATGTCATGCCATTCACCTGACAGGGCTGAGGCGCCCTCAGCAGCACACCCTCCCTGGGCCACCCAGTCCCCATACCGACAAGCAGTGCCGACTCTAGCAAAGATGACAGGCACCGTGAGGTGTGGCATCAATGTGTCAGGCAGCAGCTGGCCTGGTCTGATGTAGCTGTGCATCTGTCTCTCATCTCCGCCACTTGTGTGGAGGAGACAGCTACCCAGGGTAGGGAAGATACCGAGAAAGGTATGTAAAGACCGCCAGGCTTGTCTGTGTACTCCTTGGTTTTTCTAATTTGCACCTCACTGGCCTGAGTGGGTGCCATTGTTTGGGGAGGTAATTTCAGGTATGGCACGGAACGGCATCCTGGATGTCCCCGGATAGCTGAGACTTGGTCAGGAACACCGCCCCAGGCCACGCCCGTCCACTCCTGCCCTGCCCCAAACTCAAGATAACCTCATCGCCACCCATGGCCCCAGTAACAGATGACGCTGAGAGTCAAAGAGGGCCAGGGAGGAACTCATGTCCTTTCCAATTCTTCTTGCACCAAAGGAAAGGTCTCTATTTTTAAGCCATCCATTGTTTTAACAAATATCAGTTACACTCTTCTAAAAGAGGCTTGTTCTTTATTGTATTTATTATTATAGTTACCTACTATTTATGGAAATTTTCCCTTTTTGGGGTCAGTACTAGGGATTGAACCCATGGAGTTCTGAGTTACAGCTCCCTGCCCCTTTTTTCTTTATTCTGAGACAGGTCCTGTAAGTTACCCAGGCTGTCCTTGAACTTGTGATCAACCTGCCTTGGTCTCCCATACAGCAAGGCACACAGACATGCACCACCACGCCCAAGCTCAATTTTCCTTCTCAAATGTGTTATTAAGTTTGAAAATCAACTTAAATGAAAATATGTAATGGTAAACCATACTATGGCAAAGGAGCTGTTAAAAGTGGTGAGGGTTAGCTCAGTGGTGCCGCCGCCTGCCCTGCAAGCTCAAGGTCCTGAGTTCGATCCCTGGTACCAAAAGCAAAAGCAGTGGAGGTGAGATTCAAATGCCAGTTAAATATAATCAGTAAACGATGCAAGACTGTAACATGTACAGGTGCAGAGAGAGGCACACACCTGTAATCCTAGCTGTTCCAGAAGCTGAGGCTGGAGAATCACAACTTGGAAGCCAGCCTGGACCACTTAGCAAGGCAAGACCTTGTCTCAAAACAAAAAGCTGGCACGTGGCTCGGTGGTAAAGCACTAGCCTAGCATGCAGAAGACCCTGGGCTCACCTCCAGCACTGAAGAAAAATAATCATTTCAGTCAATTCCCACCCCGTCCTCTCTGCATCAACTCAATTGCTGCTGGTCTCCAGGCGCTCTTGTCTTCTTCACACACGTTTTATTATCAAGAAAAATCAAAATCAAGGACCTTTCTATATCTTGTATGAAATTCAAAAAGTTTCAAAAACTCATTGCCAGCTGTGGAAAACAGTAAGCTCTGTCTTCTCTATCAAATGGGACTGTCTGTATTCTGGGCTCTCGCTTATCCTGAACAGCCTTTCCTGAACACACAAAGTTGCTTGCTCAGTTCAAACCGTGGGAACACAGCTAAAAGCCAAAGACAGCTTATCAATAGTCAGGACTTTCTGTTCGCTACACCCCCTTCATTCCTCACCCCTTCCTCCTCAGTAACCCTTCTGATTCCTCCTGCGCTGCCCACCGGAATTCCGTTCGGGCCAGAATGTGAACCTCCCACCAGCCAGTGAGGAAGAGGTCAGCTACCCCTCCTCCATTCGGGATAAAAGAGCCAACTCCATGAGTGCCCACCGCCCTATGTGTCCTTCTGCAAAGGTGAATTTTGCCTTGTCGAGTCCTCTTGCTTGTCATCTGAGTAAATATTTTTCGGAACCGACAATTTGAGTCCGGGGGCCTACTTCTAATACAGCCAACTCCTACTGCGCACTTACAACCCTAGTCCCACAAAGACAACCTGTTCAACCCATCTGGGTGAGCTCAGCCACACATGAACAGCTTATCAAACAAGGAAGCAGAAAGCCAGAAAGCTAAAATCCCCAGAGAAAGCAAAGTGAGCAACAGACGCAAAATGATGAGGTGGCGCATCATTCTGCCCAGTGTATCTCCCTCCTTGATTTCTGCACAAAGCCAGTTCAACTTCTCCCATGAGAGTCCCAACTGGCTGTGACCTATCTATCACCTTCAGAGGTCTCCAAGCTCCCCAAGGGCGGGCTGGACTCTTGCTGGGTTGTCTGCTGAGTACTGACATAACGTCATTGGCACCAACAAACACACGCTGCCTCCTCAAGCAGGGCACTGGACAGACCTTGCATAGGAGGGCAAAGACTGACCACAGCAGAACACCACTAACATTAACAAGAGGCATGCAAGTTTTAGAAACCATAAATAGGAGCTTTTTCATTTTAATTTCACAAAATTTACTTAATGAGTAGTTAATCCAAAAGCAAGAAACAGGAATGAAGACTTCCACCTTTATGATACTCCAAAGTTAAAACAGATGAAATACAAATAACCTACAAATAAAGAAACCCACCCACCAAATAACAATCTCTAAAGCTTTTGGTCAGTTCACAACATTTACCAAATACTGAACCACCAAGACTGGGTTCTTCCCAAACAAGATATATGACATTACTTTGATCGCTGAAAGTCTTTCCTTCAAGTAAGGCTACATATCTGAAAACATGTACAAAGTCAAAATACATTTGTAAAGGTCATGGCTCTTATTTATTCTACTATACAATTTTCAATTATATTTTTAAT